CCAACTTGGCTCATATGGAATAACATTCACTTGCCAAGGATCTGAGCCTGAAGGCTCTTCGAAAATGGATAGCTGGTTTAATATTCCCACTGGATACACCCTTGCCAATGTTTCTCCAGAACCCGAGGCGCTACATGCTAGCCTGTCGGCATCTCCGTTACACTCCCTCGAAATTTGAATGAATTCAATTTTTTCAAAGTTCTGTGCCTCCCGCATAACAGCAGAACGATATGCTTCCATCGTTTCGTCCTTGGTTTCATACTCACCCCTCACCTGCCGAACGACTAACTGTGAGTCACTGAAAACATTCAAATTCCTGACCTTAAGTTCTTTGGCAAGTTTTATTCCTGCCAGCAACGCTTCATATTATGCCTCATTGTTCGTGGCTGCGAATTCAAGCCGGAGCGCTTGGCTTAAGGCTGTACCTTCTGGCGTCTGTAGTTTGATCCCAATGCCTGCACCCATCTGATTTGAGGATCCATCAACGAAGAGTTTCCATAAGCACTTACAAAGATCCTCCTCCACGTTTTCTGAATCACATTCTAGTAAAAAATCTGCCACCGCCTGCCCTTTGACTGTTGTTCTAGGTTCGTATGTGATATCAAATGAGCTTAACTCTATGGCCCACTTCGTCATTCTTCCAGAGTGATCTGGTTTGTGCAGGATTATTCTGATAGGGAAAGTGGTTAGAACGATAATAGGATGGGATTCAAAATAATGCCTGAGCTTTCTTTTCGCATGCACTAGCGAGAATATCACCCGCTCTGCCTTTGAATAACGTCTTTTGGCCTCAGTCATTGTTTTACTAACATAGAACACTGGATATTGCTTCTCTTCTGCGTAGCGGATCAAAACGCCACTTGTTGCGATGCTGGATACTGCGTGATACAGAAACAGCTTCTCGCCTGACTCTGGAGCTGACAGTACCGGAAGGTTCTGCGTATATTTTTTCAGAGCAGTTAACGCTAGGCGTTGTTCATCTCCCCAAACCTTCCTGCCGTGGCTTCGGATTGTGTCAAAAAATGGCTTGCATCGATCTGACAATTTGGAAATGAAACGGCTCAGTGCAGCAATCCGTCCCGTAAGTGTTTGCACCTCTTTGATTGTCGTCGGCTCGGCATTCTTAGTCAGAGCATCTACTTGGGCAGGGCTTGCCTCGATGCCTCTGAGATTAACCACGTGCCTTAGGAATTGGCCTGAACTTACACCGAACGAGCACTTGGTTGGATTGAGCTTCATTTCATACCGCCGCAAAACATCAAACACGCCTCGAAGATACTGCACATGGTCGGCTTTCTTCTTACTTTTGACCACCATATCATCAATGTAAGCCTCCACTGTCTTCCCTATTTGTTCCTTAAAAATCTTGCTAATAAGTCTTTGGTAAGTTGCCCCGGCATTCTTTAGTCCGAACGGCATAACTTTGTAGCAATACGTCCCGCGTTCAGTAACGAAAGAAGTTTTTTCTTCATCAGCGGGGTCCATGGGGATCTGATTATAACCCGAATAAGCATCTAAAAAGGTCAAGCGTTCATATCCAGTTGTTGCATCCACCATCTGATCAATCTTTGGCAGCGGGAAGCTATCCTTTGGACAGGCTTTGTTTAAATTGGTAAAATCAATGCATACGCGCCATTTCTCATTTTTCTTTTATACAACGACCACATTCGATAACCAGTCGGGGTAGTACACTTCTCTTACGAACCCCGCATCAAGCAGCCTATCAACTTCCTCGGCAATAATTCGGTTGCGCTCGGGGGCAAACCATCGCTGCTTCTGTTTTACTGGTTTTGCATTGGGATTAACGTTCAAGGAATGACAAGATACCGAAGGATCGATCCCGGGCATGTCCAGGTGACTCTATGCGAACACATCTGCGTTTTGAGACAAAAAATCAACTAATTCCTGCTTTTCCTCCTCAATGAGTTGTTCCCCTACTCTGGTTGTCCGTTCAGGTCGGAACTGATCGATCTGCACATCAAGCAAGGGTTCTTCAGTCAAGCCCTTTGGTTCCTCCTCTCCGTTCTACCTGGAGGGAGGCTCCTGTAATTGCTATCTCGGACTTACTAAACGAATGGGAGCTTTCCCCTTTCCGTCATGTTTCAGCGTTACAGAGTAACATTCTTTAGCTGCAACTTGGTCTCCATGAATGTCAATCACTTTGGTTCCGTCTGGTGCCAGGCATCTCATTACCTGATGCAGAGTGGAAGGAACACCTCGAACCCTGTGGATCCACCCTCTGCCCGTCAGAAGATTGTAAGAGGGATGAATTTCAACAACTACAAAGGTTTCCATCAAAACCCTCTCGGCAGCATGTACCGCTACCTCCACCGTGCCGACGGGCTCCACTCGCTTTCCATCAAACCCTACTAGCGGATTCCCGGTGGATTTCAGCCGATCCTGTTTGATCTCGAGCCTATCGAATGTATCTCTTGGCATGATGTTCGCACTACTTCCAAGGTCAATTAGAACTCTGCACACCAAGCATTTGGCCACTGTCAAACTTACAACCAGCGGGTCCTCATGAGGGATCTGAACATGCAACAAGTCTGTCGCGTCAAACTTTATCTGCGTTGATGCGCTCTGCTGGTGCAGAGTGTTTACACTGCCTATTTTTCTCTTCATCCGTGCTTGACGAAGGCGTGTTCGAAGCAATTCATCTGATTCCTCAGCAGGTTCTGGCCGACCGTGAATTGTATTAATTACTCGAACTGGTTGCGTGTTGTGAGAATTCGATTTCTGACTCTTCTTTACATGCTCCATTGGCCGGTTCTGCTCCACCGCTGGTCCTTGAATATAACTTGCAAACTCCCCTCTGGCTATCAGCATCTCTACCCATCTCCTTAGGTTCCTGCATTCATTAGTCTGGTGGCCAAAATCAGAATGAAATGCACAGTGTTTAGACTGATCCCTCTGTTCGAAAGGTTGCCTTATTGGTAAAGGAGGTCGGAACTTATCTTTATTTTCTTGGTACAGTCTTGCTAGGGTAACTTTCAATGGAGTAATCAGCTCTTCCTTTCTGGGCCTCTTCTCAGATTTCCACGAGGAGCGTTGCGGTTGGACCTGTTTTTGCCTGATCTTTGCTTTGGTCTTTTCTTCCGTGGATATAACGGATGTCTTCCGAGCGTTTGCCGCCTCTTCTTCTTCCAAGCGTACAAATCCATTGGCTCTTTCGTTGAGTTCATCCATAGTCCTCGGCGTGTTGACCACCAAACTTGTGTGGAACGGGGTGCCACGATTCATAGCCAGAATGAATGTTTGAACTGCCGTTGAAGGGTGGCATTCAATAACCATGCTCTTGGTAAGGTTAAACCTGGTTAGGAAAGCCTGGAGACGCTCTTCAGCGTGTTGCTTCATTGTGAATAAGCTCGAAATATCTTTCGTTGGACGCTTGTTTCCATAGTATTGGCTTATGAACCGATCGCACAGGCTTCGGAAACTATCCACCAAACCCCTCGGCAGGTACTTGAACCAATTCAGAGCTGGTCCGGCTAGACTCGTAGGAAAGCACTTGCACATCAAAGAATCATTCTCAGTGTTTAGAGCCATTTTCAGCTGGATGTGATACACATGATTGATCGGATCAGTCGTTCCGTCGAATAGAATGAAAACGGGCATGGAAAATTTCCTCGGACTCGGAGCATTCAGAATCTCATCGGTGAACGGTGAATCCACCGTTCGAGCTGCTGAACGAAGTGCTTCATTCTCCCTCTGGAATCCCGCGGCTGCTCTCTGGTCTACTGATCTTCTTTCTGAGCTGTGATAGTCGAATGTCGTCATGGAAGGCCGGTAAATCGGATCGAATGATCTATCCTCAACAAAGTCCTTGCGCCATGGAGGCATAGCTTTTTGACGAATCAACTCTATTGCTTCACCTCGGCTGAGCGTTTCTTGATGTGGATCAAAAGTCATCGCTTCGTTTCGCCTGATCTGCTTACGCCGTGGATCCATGTAAATCGATCCTTCACGATCATCCATACGACGAAGATTTGGCGGCAGACCGTCTCGCCGGATTTCCTCACGGTGAGGATCAACTAGATTGTTTTCAACCTCTTCACCATGATGTGCTGCATCGGTACGTGCACCTTCTTCGCCTACCAGAAGTGGTTGTGGAATTATTGGAGCTTCTTGACGCTGTATTTCATTCCTTAGATCTGCATTTTCTCTCCGGAGAGCTTCAATCATGTTCATCAACTCATCGAGTTTCACTTGCTGGATGTTCTCAACCGTATTAGAGTTGTCACCCCCTATCATGATTTCGGATCGAAGCAAAGGCATGAATTACGAACTTCGAAACAGATCTAAGCGTTACCGATGCAAACTCCGCTAGATCTGGGCTTAACTTTACCGAATCGTGATCACTGTTTGCTAGATCTGAACTTTTCTAGCTTCAAACTCATCGGATCTGACTGCAACTGAGCAAGTCGCAATTGCGTCCTTCCAAAGCAAATGCCTCAGAATCCACAATAATCAAGAATTCTCTCGGAGCAAACTGCAATCTCACTGATCTGGATTCAACTTCCAGAAGTCACACTGCATATTCACAAATTCAATTGAACTAATATGGTACTGATCGGGCTCGAATTGATCTTCGTCCTCGGTTCCCACAGACGGCGCCAATTGAAGATACAATATTCCGTTTCATCTCTCTCACTCTTACTTTCTCTCTCTCTCTCTTCTCCCTAGCCTTTTTTTTTCTACTTTCCACCCGTCATGGTCTATTTATAGGCCATGACCCTCTTTTGCAGTTAACCAATTACATTGGGCTTATAGCCCAAAGTTCTCTTCCTTCTGGGCTGGGTCTTGTAATAGGCTTGACCTTCCTCGGTGGACCCCCCACGTTCGGCCCACTCCAGGGTGCTTTGGCATAGATCATTCTTCAATCATTCGACCCGATCTCGTTTCCGCGATCCATATCTGGCCCATGCCACTTGCCGCATCCTCAAGGTACAAGGATATTTTTGTCAGAAAAATATATGAGAAATTAAATGTCAAAACAGCTCCCTTTCGTTAGTTAAATCACTCCCCTCGAATAGTTGAGGGGGGTTTATTGACAAAAAAATAGAAAAGGGGAGTTTAGTGAAAAACACAAATAGAAAAAGGGGGTTTAATGTAATTTACCCTATAATTTATAACGAGAGTAAGTTAAGAAAAAATAAAAATAAAAATAAAAATAAAAAAATTTAGTGATATAACCGTATAAGGTGAATGACTTAAATTTCCATAGAAGTAATGCAAGTGTGAGTAAAAAAAAAAAAAACAATAATAAAGCAAAAGAATTTAATTATAACAATAATGAAACAATAGTATTTCACTCAAAAGAATGTGACTTGATACATGACAAGAATAAATTATTGAAAACCTTGTACAAGGTTGTTGACACGAACAAAAACAATGAAAATGAAAGAAAAAATGACAAATCATTTATTACAAGAGCGTGCTAAAAAATTAAAAATAAAAAACAACAACAATAATGTGAATCAATTCTTCTAACACTGAGGTAGATCTGGGGGAGGCGGAGGCAGCGTAGTTGATGGTGTTCCTCCGTTTTCAACCACGAAAGCTGTCGCTAGGCCCCACGGCAAATGTACATCCAAGTGGCAGTGCATCAACCACACACCTGCAATCACCACATTTTCAATCCAAAATTACAGTCAGTAAATGTGAATCTTGTTACATTCAAGAGCTGTACTAGCAAAATGACAGTCTCAGATGTGCTTAGCACAGTTCTAGATTGATTTGTGACCAAATTAGATGTTAAATATGAACAAAAATCATAAGCGTCTATATAGAGCAAGAATGCTTAGAGAATTCACCTGGATTGTTTGCTTTGAATCTAATGACGGCCCACCCTCCAACCGGAACGGCAATGGTGTTACGTTGTTGAGGGTTGACAAAATTGAATTTCTTAGAATCGTTGACAGAGTCGTAATTGCCAAACCCTTGTGCCAAAACGTGGAAATTGAATCCATGCAAGTGTATGGGGTGGTTTTCAACGCCCACCAACGCTGTGTTCTGCATTATAATCTGAACTGTTGCATTGTATTTGACTTTCTTCACTTTCGTTGACTTTGCGGTGAACACGATGGACGTATTGAAGCTATTGTTCGAATTGGTGTAGTCAAACTGCACCGGAGGATTGTCAGGGAAATCAGTGGTGTAGATCCCACTCACGTCGTTGAAGAACGCTTGCAGCATTGACAGCGTGGTGGGTGTCTGGAAGGACGCGTTGTTCATGCTCGCAGCCAATCGCTGCCCAAGTGGGCCTGCACAGGTTGCGTTCGCTCCGCATGGGACCAGGCCCAATCCAACAGTCACAAACATATGCTCGTTCACCTTAAGTGGCACTGGGATCCAGTGAGGCCCATTAACCAGCCCAGTCAGATTGCTGTAGAACTTGTGGGCCGTCGGTGTGTCATTGAAGGCTGGTAGGACCGGCATTTTTGGGGTTGATGACGTGGCACCATCGTACTCGACGATTGCTGTCGTGGTAGTGTTATCGAACGGTACACCAGCCGCGCTGGCATAGGGATGTGCTGCCATGTAGTAGGATCCCGGTGACTGGTCGGCGGTCAACAGGACGTCGGTGGTCTGGCCGGGGGCGATCACGACGACGTCGGTGACGAACTTGTTTGTGTAAGAGGCGTCGACGGCGACGACTGTCATCTTGTGGTTGGCAATCTTGAAGAAGAGTTGGTTATTGAGTGCAGCATTGATGATACGTAGGAGATATGTTTTACCTTGAACCACCCTTAGCTTGTATGTTACTATTCATTCATAGAAAACAAGATCATAAGATAAAATTCAAGAGGCCACTTATGAATATCAAATTTAATTAACGTCTAAGGTAGTAAAATAATTAGCATGGGTGTGTGCGTGTGTATATATATATATATAAGTATACGAGTAATGCAATAGTCTTATGCAATAATCTATAACATACTCTATAAATAAAGTTTCTCACTTTTTAAAGCAGCGAACACATCGGTCGATAATAAAAACCAATCCAAACTTTTATCAATTTTCTATATAAAATGTATTACATATAATATGTAGTAATACTTACGATTTGAAGAGCATGGGTAGAGATCGCCGGGGCGGCCATTGATGGTGTAGGCATCAGAATTGTTAGGCGCACCACCACTTGCTAGTCCTTGGTTCTCCACGTCAATTACATTAGCATTCCACCACTCTCCTGCAGATCATATGCAATAATATTTTAATTAATGGCTTTATCTATTGTAATAGAGTGCTCAATAATCTCCTATAATTAATTTTTAATGATATACACACTTAATTTACACCGTCTCTCGTATATAGTTTAACATTTTAAAGTAATATTAGAGGAAAGAGACTGTCCCAATAAAAAAATTAAAATTATTAGAGGAAAGATATATTTAATTTATGCCCCAGTTTAATTAAGCTTTATTATTGGTGGTCAACATGTTACTATAATGTTACTATAGAATAGCGCAAGATTTTAAATCCGACTGTCATCTTCATAATTATTTATGATTTACGCACAATTTTGTAAGGGAGTTGGTTTTGTCAACAATGACAACAATGCAAGTAGAGGTTAATTAATTAGTTGATAATTTAATGTTTTCCATATCTCTATTCCCTATATATTGGACTTTGAACAATTCCAGTTGGTTTAATAAAAAATATCCTAGTTAAATGTATATGTACGTATTTAAGCGCTTAAAAAAAAAAAAAAAAAAAAAAAAAAAAAAAGAAGTTATAGTATTAATTATGAGAGAAAATAAATGAAAAGAAAGATAATTTATCTTTGGATAAATAGAAGAGAGAAGAAAGAAAATAATAATATTTTTGTTTGGATATGATAGAAAATAGAAAAGAAAAGAAATGATTAAAACTAAATTACTATTATATCATTTTAAATAGAAGAGATATGAGTAAAATAATGATTTTCCCTTTTTAATTGTTGAGGGCACTTTCAAGATTATAAAAATATTATTTAAATACTGATTAGTTATCCCTCACAGTCTCTCCCTATCTTTTTCTTTTTATTTTTATTTTTTATTTTTTTATCTCATTATAAACCACCCAAATACACGTACTCTTAGATATTTTATTAAATATTATATTAAGTTGGCTTGACTTCTAGAAGATAAGAAAACATGCTTGCTGCACCCTCTTCCATTTGGATTTCTAGTATGTTTGTAACATAATTTTCTGTATATTTATAGATTCATTGGTATACTAGCAATTAGAACTCGTCAATTCCAGCTAAAATTTGAAATATTATTCATCTTGTAAAATCCATTAATTTAAAAATTAGTATAAAAAACTGGAAAATGTATTTTGACCAAAAAAAAAAACCACGAAGGGGAAGAGTAAAGAATTGGCAATTAAGGATTGGTACCTAGGAGAATTGGATGTTCTCTGTAGGGCTTGGGGAATGGGTAGGAATGGCCATTTCTTGGGCGGATGATAAGTGCCCCATGAACAGTTGCCCTAAGCCATTGGACGTGTGCGTGCCACCATAGGGTACCCTCCTGCCCTGTGATATTAAATCTGTAGGTATAGGTATGTCCAGGGCGAATCGGGCATTGAGTAGTGTAGGAGGGTCCATCAGCCCACCCACTTAGTAGCTGGAAAATCCCATGCCTGCATTCATATGTCATTAATTAGCATTTATAATCAAGAGATATAGTAGTAATACTTGGAAACAATTCGATTGTCAGTCAAAATCTTGATTGTGATTTGATCAATTTAATTATATCCACTGGTTTGCCAACAATTCACTGTATCAACAAAGGTTAGACCTTTTTTTTTTTTAATAAAAAGAAGTAAAAGACACACATATTTAATTGAAACTATCACGATCCCGATAGAAAATTAATGAATTCTGTCTTTTGACAAAATCAACTACATGGTTTGTAATTGACAAGTCATATATGTACGTGTGTGTCTGGTGGCCATGTAATTAAGAAAAATATGTAATAGAGCCAATTAATAATGAGTCAATTAATATAAATCTTGAAATAGCGGGTGGTTGATGATGAAATCAAAACAGCTGGAATATTTGTGAAAGAAAGAAAATGGTGTAACATTTTATGGTGAAAGTCAATTAAATTTGCTTAAATTTCCAAAAAAAAGAAAAAAAAAAAGTCAATTAAATTTGAGATGAAGCCATGGTAGGTGCGTACCAGTGAATAGTGAGGTTGTAGGGAGACATATTGAAGACATGGACGACAAGGGTGTCACCCTCCTTAACCCGTATCGTTGGTCCGGGGAGGCTTCCGTTTGCTGCAACAATCACTTGCTGACGGCACAGCCGCTGGACAGTCAGGTTTTGCACCTGCAGCATATATGCATCGAATTTTTAAGTGTTGCCAAATGTGAATCTTCAAGTTTGAGACAAAAATATACGATATATATATATATATATATATGCGCGCGCGCGACTTAATTTTAATTGTGTCTAGTTTTCAAAAAAGATATATGGTGCAATCAAATTTTGACTTATGATTTGCTTTGGTGAGGTAGGTGAAGCATGTTCCAGGAAGAGAACCTAATCTTCCAAATCATGCAAGAAAACAGCAAACTGATCGAAAATAAGATGCGTGCATGGATTTTCAGTGGAGAAGAGCACTATTAATTGCACTAAGGACGACCATGCTAAAATTCTTTAGTGGACTAATTAGCGTTGGAACTCGATATTGAGTGAGCCAAGCATACATTGGTCGGGCCGCACAAAGAAAATGCATTATTCAATTAAAATTGGTCATGCCTGCTTATATAAACTGCTATGGTGCATTTTAATGTGGTATGTCGGTAGGGATGAACCTGATGCATAATACAAGTTAGAGATGAGGTTCAAGATTAGAGTAGGGTTTTTTAGTGGTTTAGTAAATTATGGGAATAGTAAATTAAATATGAGGAGTTCATTAAGACTAAGCTATATATATATATATATATATATACATCTATTTTAGCCATGGAAGTAAGAATGGACACTCAATATATTCACTTCAAAAAACATCCCCTCCATATAGAAGACTTGGAGGACAAGTATATATATATATAAGTAGGCTTCAATTCCTAACATGCAACATGCATGGGGAGATCGACCTACAGATCATTTTACCCTAGCACCATGCATTCATTCCATCTCTTTGATCATGAAGACAAAACAACGATGATCCATCCAGATCAGTAACGAATGTCAAAAAAAGGAAATAAAAAATGAAATGAGTAAGAGCTAGAGATTACATGTAATGAATGCTCCACAACTTCAGCAGAAGCAAATGATGAAGAAAGAAGAGCTAAAGCGCATGCCACCAAGAACACACAAATACGTGCCATATTTGTGAAAGTGTGGAAGCTACCAATAGATGAAAAGACAGAAGAATTATAACACAAGAAAAGGCTTCGTAAATTAGGACGTGGTGATAGAATTTTTCTATGTGTTGGTTCTGAAGTTTCTTTCCATGAAATCTATACATATATATAGCAGTCATAGCTTGACAGAGCCTTTGGCTTTCTCACGATTGCGTGCACAATATAGTTAAAATTAAAAAGGGGGCATATGGACTTATCAGATAAAGGAATTTGAATTCAACGCATTAGCAAAAACTTCGTTATCCAACAGCTTTTAGTTGGCCATCAGAACACATAACACACTATTAATAAAATCCCAAAGTCGTAGATTAATCTTTAGCTTGGTTGTTCAAGCAAACCAAGCAACTGGATCAAATTTGGTAGAATTTTGACTATGACCCCTTTTTTCATTTACGCCTCCATTTTCACTTTCTCTTCTAGAACTTGAATTAATCAGATGAAAAAGGAAATTGCTGCAAAATTTTCAACTTAGTTCCTGTTTCAAGCACTCCAAATTATATATTTGCATTTCCAATCTAATTACAATCATTGCATGCATCTCATAGTTGTAAAACGTATATATTAGAAGTGCATGAATAGCCATATTAACTGCCAATATGTACATGATTGTGACTGTTCCAAGGGACTTCCTTGCATTGGGGTGCTTAATTGGGATAATGAACCTAGCAAACTATATGCTCTGTGAATTTGAAATCTCTTTTAATATTATAATAAATTGTACAAGTCTTTATCCAAGTCTGTGATGTCGTGGTTCGAATTTTGTTTTGACTCGGGTTAGGCTGAAACTACATTCCGAACCAAGTTTATGAAAAAATAATTTTTTTGACCCATTTTCTTTTGTGGGTCGTGGACCTGGTTCTATAACTCGTTTGTACGTAGTATAGTCTATAAAGGCATTTTGGGTTTAGGGTCTTTGCTAAAAGAATATTTAGAGGTATTTGAGAGAGATGCTTTGGAGGCTGATACTTGTAATCTCCTATTTTTTAAAAAGAAGAAATTTTCACTAAATTAAACTTTTATATTTGTTATATGTGACATATTTACTTTTTTGTCGATTTTTTACCTGTGTTCTTAATTGGGTACATTTGGCACAACTTAGTCTACCCCAATACATTCTTATTTGTAATCCCCTCTGCAATTTCTTCTTGGAACAGTCCATTTTGAACATTGTTTATCTACATTAAAAAAATTATTTTCATTAATTTGAGTTTGACCAATTATATGGATCGGAATTGCTTTCCAAATTAATATACCATCAGGCTTAATTATACTTGTATAATAGGTTTACATGCAAGGCTACACAACCTTAGAACTCTGGATTAGCACCGAATTAATTAACGAGGCGCGGACCTATTGTTCCTTTACCAACAATTAAAGTGATCATCATCATTAATAAGTAATTGAATTGTTCAACTTCAACCAATAATATCAACAATAATGATATATAATATAGTATAAATAGATAACTAAAGAGTAATTGAATTCAACGATCTAGCTCACAACGATTCAGCTACTGCCGTTTGGAAGTCATAGGGAGGACAGGCTGTTTCTTTTTCTTCTTTTTTTTCTTTTTTTTTAATTTCTTTAATTTTATTTAAGAAGATATATTTGATCCGAATAAGTATATCGATGTGTTTCTTAATCAATGTACGTAAGGACGTTGACATGTCAATGATATGATGTGGATGCACTCGTATTATGAAACAAATTTAAGCCAAGGAATTGAAAGCAACTTTAAGGAAAAATGTGTATTATTATAAATGGGGGAGGTGATATTCCCTTCATGTTAATTATTTTTCAAGTTTAAAGAAAATAACACTTCTAACATTAATTTTATTAATAGATGATTACGAGTAACTTTTTTTTTTTTTTTTTTTTTTTTTCAAATATTACAATCATACTTTCACGTACATATTGTGCTAACAAGAACTAAGCATAAATAACATTTCAAACTAAATTTGTATCCATATTTGACAACGTATCCATTTATTGTAATGTAATCACTCTTTCGACAAGAACTATGAACTCTTTTTATTCAACACAAGATTGAGATAATTTTTTTTTGGATTTGTGGAATTCTTGCCAATCCTAGAGTCAATAAAAATAAGAAGAAATTATGACATACTTTTTGTAAAGAGATGGGTTGATAACATTTGTCAGATCAAATATGAATAAAATCTGATACATTTTATTCATTAATAGGATATTGTTTAACAAAAGTAATATTAACCGCATGACGAATAACATAAAGCAAATGACAGGCTTCTGAAGTTCATTTATTTTATTTTATTCCTAAATTGGAAGTGTCACTCCTACTAATTAATTAGAAATATTAATGCAATTCTCATCCTTTCTTTTTCAAAGTCAATTAAGTAATTATTAGTTAAACTAGAATGTTTGAGCATTCAGTTTCGTATTGCATTCGTTTTTCAAAGTCAATTAAGTAATTATTAGTTAAACTATAATGTATGGCATTCTTCGGAGTTGGAATATGGTTGCACTTTCCTTCTGGCTAGCTACTCAACAAATGAAACCTCCCCATTTCCAAAAATAAAAAATAAAAAAATAAAAAAACTATCATAACGAATTAAACAAAATAAAAACTTACCTTACATACGCAAAGCATATATATATATATATATATATATATATATAGTATACTGAGCAAAAAATAATGAAATTAATGTTTTCAAAATCTCATTCTTATATCTTCACTCATTCCAAACAATATAATTATAGACAGAGAAGGAGGTGCTGAAGCTAGCTGGCAAGATTTGATATCTAGAATCCACAAGATTTGCTATTATTGTGGATTCATCAATAATTAAAAATGAGAAAATAAATAAATAAATATAGCAATACTTGTTCAAACACACTTTTTGGTTGATGACTATATTGCTTATAGTTTTTTTCAAATACTTCATTTGTCTTGCGAAACCACACTTATGTCCTCTTCAAGTTTGTTGGGTCTCCCTCTAATGAGGCCCACGACGGTCGTTCCTCCTTATACAATATATATATATATATATATATATATATATATATATATATATATATATATATATATATATATATATATATGTCCCTCTGTTATTGTTTTAAATAATACTTTCCTATGCTTAACAGAGAGATTAATTAAACGTTTTGGAGTTGTCTGTCGTAATGTGTTAGGTAGAAGTATAGTTGTATATCACATTCTGGTTGAAGATAGATGAAGGGTGGTGATCACTTAATTGCCTTGTGAATCAATGCCAGTACAGTAGTTAACATTATCACTTACCACTTAATATATTAGAGTAATTTAGTAGACCCTGAATACGTATTATTGTGATCATAAAATGGTGACATATTTATATAATGTCCATTTGACACTTTCAAAATTCACAAATACATGTAAGATACAATACAATATTCATAATTATATATATATATATATATATATATATATATATATATATTATTTTTAACATATACCTAATACTTTTAACGCGTATCCGATGTTGGAGAAAATTTTATATATTTAATTTTATACACAATATATGAAATACTAACAACATGAATTCAATAGATAATATTAACAAAGAATTCATTATCTTCAACAACCAAATTAATATATTCACATGATACAAGACTACTTCAAAACTAATACATGTAAGATACAATATTCATAATTTTTAGAATGAACATTAGACAAAATGCAATTAGATTGAAATTGCAAGAATAATATAAGAGAAACTATACGCTTACAAATGATACAAGAGTACTTCAAGTAACCAAATTGGTTGTAATTAATCTCAAAATAAAACATATTGTATAGAATAATATAATGAAAATGACAATAATAAAGTAAATAGAAAAGAGGTTGCCTGATACAAAGGTATTGTAAACATATTGACCTGCAGGTAATAATTTTTTCTTCGGTAAAAGTATAGATGACATTAGTCAGTTCCAAAATACATACGATTCAATTAGCTCACATCAACATTTACTCTATGTGCATGACTATAGGAATACTAGGTCTAAGTTTATACGTGTCTTGTTAGCCATAAACACGTAATTTAGATATACTCGTACACATATATAAGTATACAAAGAATATATATGTAAAGGAACAAAACAGTTGAGTATCATAATTCTGAAATTTATTGATTGTTGAGAGGTTATTTAGTTATTTATTTATTTTGGGGGAGGGGGTATACATAATGTAAGAGGGGCAAAATGAAAAGAAAAAAAAAAAAGGCAAAATCGAATTTTAATATTTACTTTCGCCAAAAAGTGATGGGGTTTGTACTTTTTTTGAAAAATAAAGAGCTCGGTGGGTTACGCGCGTGCGCGTGCGCGCACACACATATATATAATGTCTTTGCTGTATTCGTATCATATTCCTTAACAATCTTGTGTGAGTTAAATTGTTAAAAATGTGTTCCTGCAGCTTCTTGTATTATCTCAAATAGAGTTTTGCAAGAAATACATTTATTAAAATAAAAGGTAGATGGTTCAAGTATAAATTAGAAATGCAATACAAAGATTAACTGATTTTTTTAAAAAATAAAAAATAAAAAACTAGACCTATTCGTGTACAATATTGCAAGTGTTTATATATAAATCAGAACTGTGAATATTGGAAAATCTTTTGGATTGGTAGACCAGTGCGCTGCAAGGCCTAATGGGGTGTTAAAAAAATGGGATGAGATTTGGTCTCAATTAATATTTAAATAAGATACTATAATATACGATGGCCCAAACTCCGCGTTTTTGTCGACATAAATTGGATTCATTCTTAGTGTAAAAAAAAGAAGAAGCAATGGTGCTTAAATTCACAGGTTTTTAGACATTTGGGAAATGGTGGAAATTATTTCATATAAAAAGGTTGAAGAAAGCAAATCACATGGCATTTCTTTTGTTTTAAAATAAGTGTCTGTCTTAAAAATTGTGACAATTTTTATATCACCAAGTTTTTAGAT